CCTTATAAAGGCACCTGAGTTAAAATCACTCTGACATTATTCATAAACTACAGAACTAACCTGCTTTCAACGCAGCCTGATTTTCAGGTCACTATGAGAAAAGCAAAACAAGTCAAGTTTGAAGAAAGACTGCCAAGAATTTTCCAAGTGGCAAGGTAATATTTCAAAGGGGCCAGTTTCTCTTTAATATGCGTGCCCGTGGGACTCCACGCTTTCTGCTGAGCTTCTAGAACTGGTTTTTGTTTACCTTTTGCTGATCTAAAGCCAACGATTACAAAAAACAACAAAACAGCAGGGATCTTGCTAGAACTTTATACATGCCCACACCAGATGTCCTCTTGGAGTAGGAAATGTGTGAGGAAAATTTCAGGCCAGAATTGTTAGACAAATGTATGAACACTTCGTAAAAAAAAAAAGAAAAAAATAAAATCAACGGGGAATCACTAGAAAAACAAGTTCTGAAAGTCTGTCCATAGCAGCCTGCATCATACTCCAGTAGTAAGTACCACAGCCCTTACAGGTCTAACAGCCAGTTTTCCTCAATTTTCCAGCACGCGGTAATCCTCAGGAAGAGACCGCATCGGCCAGTGTGTGACCCGCGACGCATCAGGGCACGGCACATTTTGTTCCATTATATTTAACTGGACCAAAGCATTGGGTTTTATGGGATCGTGCCACATTTACTAACGATTCACAAAAGGTAACCCTTCCCGGAACTCCCTCTATCAGCTTCAACCCAGCAAAGAACTAAGCCCCTCCGGGCTCTGCTGAAACCCCTCCTGTGCCCGCGGCAGCGGGGGCAGCACGGGTGGAAAGCCGCAGCCAGGCCCCTCTGCTCAGCCCACTCACCTGCCGACAGCACAGGACACACCTTCGCAGCACCAGAATCTCTGTCTCGGGCTACTAAAGAAGTGGAGGGAAATTATAATCTGTATACAGGAAGTGATAATAATAATAAAAACTATGTATATCTTTCCCGGGAGTGTGGCGCTTTGAGAAACTATAGCATCTGAGAGCCGGGGTGCCTGTGCCAACTCGCTTCCTTTAAGCCTAAGTTGTAATGAAAAATGACAGCAGCTGGAGTCAACAATAACTGGAAAATGCTTCCCAAAACCATTTGCTTTTCTTTTCTTTTGGGCTCTGCAGGAATCAGGTTTGCAGGCACCGTGTCTAGCCAGCTGTGGAAAGAACAGCAAGTCTCCACAGCCCTATCAAAACTCCCGTCCCTCGAGAAGCAGAGCAGGAAGGACAAAGAAGCCAGCAGAGCTGGTGTTAAGAGACTTTGCACAAGTTGAACGGTGTCCATCGCAAGCTCTGCTTCTCAGAAACTCCCAAAGGTTTCCCCTCCTGCAGCTTCCTGTTTTTAAGCGAATGCATGTGCATTTCTACTCGGGTCTGATCCAGGAGTAGTCACGTGCATAAGCAAAAAGGCGGTTTACTCTCAATCCCTTCCGCAGCTCCATCTAGTAGGGAAGAATATACTATTTTTCTCCTCTTCTGTTCTGCCTGCACCGGCCTTGAGGAAATCCCGTAACTGCTCCTCCATGTGTGTAGCATGAAGGTACACACATGTACGTCTAACGGATAACACCAGCCCAGCCAACAGGCTGCACAACGACTACACAGCCTGTCCCGCGGAGTTTGGAACAGCCGGGGCCCGCGTTTCCACACTCCGTACTCCGCCAAGGTAACAGCTTCAGCAAACGACAGCTCACATTCACCTCCATGCTGCGGAGCAGCCCCCATCTTTATGCTAAATATTAGTTCTGAAAGTGAGAGAAGAGAGACGGAAAGGAGGAGGAGGCCTCGCAAGGGAAGATAGAGAAAGACAAACAGGAGAGTGGGTGAATGCAGAAGCGGGGAGGAAGAAGAGAGGAATCGATGCCAGCACGCGAACTTTGTCATTGTGGAGATTACTGGATTTGTGCTCGGTCCTTTTAACTTCCCCAGCACTTAAAAACGCGGATAAAGAAGAGACAATCTTTGCTGTGTGAAAGCTAAGGAAAGATTAAGGATGGAATAACTCCAACGAGCAGGGAAGGGGAGGGTATGATATAAAAACGGCTTCCTTCATGCTCTTCAATGACATCTTGGCCCAGGCCTGCAGCTAAGTACTGCTCCCCAGCTTTCGTGAACGGGGTACCCCGGCTGCTCCAGCACAGTCAACAAAGCCACCGAACGAGGTCCTGTTAGGCAAACAGAACAGGAATGCTTGTGAAAGCAGCACAACACAGGAGCAAAGCACACAGTAATAATGTTCTGGTGGGATCAGCAAAGTGCGTAATTAGTCAGGCAGTGGGGAGATGTAGCTCCTGTTCTGTCATCTGTCTCTCTGGCTGACACGGGTATGATGCCAATACCGGAAGGAAAAGCTGCAAAAAGACATGTACAAAGAATCTCGGTCCCTAAGGACAGTCACTGAGCTCAGCTCGTCACTTCCCATACAGTGCAGCTTTATTTTGGTGGAGAGTGCCTTGAAAATGCTGTGAGCATCAGGGGAACTGTGAGGGCAGCAGCTGGAGGACAACCTTCTCTCATGCCACTGCTAGCAAAATTCAAGGGGCAGAAATTTTGAGTATGATTGCAGAGGCACTTCTCCCAAACAGCTCCCAAGGAATATATGGGAATCAGTGCGACAAATAAGGCTCCCAGCCCTCTGGAATAACTGCAGCTTGAAACACTCTTGTCATAAAGCGCTGTTCCAATCTCCTGACAGATACATCCCACCACGTACTGCTAACAGAAGGTTAAATGCCACGCCAGGCAAAGGAGCTACACAAAGATTTAAGTGCACCTACACAAATCTGTCAGGCATGACTGGACCATGACTGCGCGCTCCAAGGCAGCCAGCATCCTGACAACACAGAGCCTGCCAGGTGGGCAGCAGAAGGGATATTCCCTGCTACAAGGGGAGGTCAAGGGCTTTGCCGTGTGCCCTTTATGTCTATTCTGTATTTACCGTTGTACGTTGGGGATTTGCATACAAATTTCGCTCTGCACTATTAGAGATGTGCTCACTGTCTGTTCAAACAGAAGGACTTAAGATGCTCTTGGAGAGAACACTGAAATTGCTGAGGAAAAGGCAACTGGCATCCAGGCAGGGCTATCGCTTGCCCTTACGAGGACCACGCACTTCCTGGAGCACCTAAAACTGTTGTTAGCAATGCTCACTGCAGAAATAATGGCTCTTCCTGCAAGCTGCCCTACTCAAAACCCTATGGCTTTTCTACAGCACCTCCTGCTGATGGCTTCATCAATAGCCACTGCTCCCAAGCTAAACTCCCTCCAGGAGCTCTCGGGCAGTTATCCACTACTCCCCTTCTGCCGGGATCACTTGCATTGCCCTGTGGTTTGAACAGAGAACACCACGCATCTTTTCCCCTAAAATGGGTCAGTTTTAGCAAGCAGCCTAGCTTAGTGCTCCACATAGCAATTTTACAGATCTCCAGGGTAATAACAGTAAACATCCAGAGGCATCCACAGCAATAGCATATTGTTCCCTCCCCCACATCAAGTTCAGGGAGCATATTTCAAACAGATGACATGAAGGAGGCATCCATGTAAACATCCTCTATAGTGGGGACAAGTGAAAAAAAGAACCAGAACAAAATGGAGAAGGGAACTGTTTTCCTGCAGAGTGCATGGAGCAAAGGAGCTCTGGAATGAGGGGAGACGCCCAGAAGAAGGGCAAAATAGGCATCTTGCACAAGGGAAGAGATTGGCAGAGCTACCAATGGCGCGAAAGCCCATGCAGATGCATAATCATCTTAACCTCAGCCCATTAAGTGATTCCTCAATGAAGAAGGTTTTCTTGGGTGTCTGGATGAATGGTGCCGCATTTCTGAGGAGAATGATGGGGAGTTGCTGGTCCTGCTCATAACAATTCAGGATAATAAGGATAATTCAGGTTGGAAGGAACCTCAGCCCATCATCCAGTCAAATCTCCTAAAGGGGTCCAGTTTTAGCTTTGTTTCTTACATAGCAATTTTATGACTTTCTGGGATAGTAGCAGCAAACAGATCTGACAGGTCAGAGCAAACCGAAAAAAGGAGGACTTTGTGCCTTGGTCACACATTTTGTGATAGGCTTCCCAGTCATCTGAAGGAAGGGAGAAGCTGAAGGGAGAGGCTGAAGGGTCCCTTCTCCCCTGTGACACTGAGACATGGAGGCAGACATGCTCTTTACCTCGGAGGACGGTGAGCTTGGCATGGACGGTGACCTCCCCATGAGGGTTTTGAGCAACACACTCGTAAATGTTCTCATCCCGGGGAGTCCGGAGGGGCTGGATCCTCAAAACAGCACCTGCACTTTCATCAAATTCAATCGTCTGGAGGATAAAGGGAGAGAGAGA